GTCTATATATATTATGCTGGCCCGTAGTGTAGGCCCAACCCTTCATTGGTACCAAGTCACTCACTGCCTGACTGAAAGCCATTTGCCTCAACTGTTCTTCCCATCTGCTAGATCTACAGAGTAAGCGAGGGCATCCGACATTTTGGGGAAGGGGGGTGGACGTCCACCTGTGTGGCGTTCATCACTGCAAGCTAAACGCAGAACGGGGTAGGGACACACACGCCACTTGTCAATATTTTACCGCTGAAACAGGTAAACCACCGTTGACAGAAAAGTGACCGACAAGATAAGCTGGCAGAGACCGCGTCTCGTCGACGGCACGTGGGCTGTGTGAACCAGGGGTTCAATCCCATGCGTTTTGTTTCCTTCTTCGGGCTCTGTCACCTCGAAAACGTCAGCCACTTCGTGAAAACGCAAAACAACCTTTCAAGGTACCACGTGTGCAGGGGGAACCGTCGGAAAGGACATAGATTTGCCGGTCGTTCGGGCATCGTAACCTAGCATCGTAATTGCCGTCTTGGTTGGTGTCGTTTGAATATAAATCTCATAAGATGTTCATTACCACCGTGAAGTAGCGCCCCATGGTGAGCGGTACCACCGGCATATCGCCAGTTTCCCGGCGTTCGGTTGCTTTACCGCCTCCGGCAAAGTCTTTATCGCAAAAAAACGTGATACCGCCTACCGCCGAAAGACGTACCGCTGTAGGGGATTGCCGCCGAAAACGTATTCACCTGAAGGCGATACAGAGTCAACGCTTGGAAACATTACTTTGCGGGGCGTGGAGCAGCCGCGGGAGTCGGACCCACAGCAGCCTGACAAGGGTCGTTCGCGGCACCCCATTCCACGACATTGTCGGCCTCCATGATTATGGCTGGCTGGTTGCTTGCGCTTGCGCGTTTGCTTTTGATCACGTCGATTGGCACGCTTTCGTGTCGAAAGCAGGTGCTACGTCGACGATAAACGGCTCAACTTTAGCGTTATGTCTTATGTACGTGTGATGTCCTAATCTTCAGCAACCTGTGGCTCTTGCTCACCCCCTCCCCTCCATTTTCAGGTCGCCTCTGCTTCCCTTTCCGCTCTAGGTAAAGCGAGTTACGATGCCTCGTGGCAACTTTCTTTCGACGATGTGCAAAGGCTCACACAGAGTGACGGTGAAATACTCGAACGAACCGTTGGACAAACGACTCACTACAGGCTGTTTATCCTAGATATTAAAATGTACCTCGAGGTTTCAATGCACGCACTGCTGCCTACAATTCTATACTTACGTATGATGACTTCACATCCGATGTCCCCAAATGGACAGAACGAGACACGAGTAGTAGTACAGACAAACATTCGGCTACCATGGGGGAAAACGTGAGAGTCCAGAGATACAGGTCCACACAATATAGAAGGCCTTGGGGCCCGTAATAAAAGATGCTCCCGCTTAGGGAACGGTGCTACAGAGGAGGGGAGACCAAGGGCGACCGAGACAGGGGCGGGTCGTCCTCCACACATGTTGGGACAAGCCACCGCAGGCTTCTGCACCACAAGGCGAGCCAGAAGACGCGACGATTCCGATCTACAGTATACATATCTACTTGAAGTATGTATATATCTCTCTCAACGGTTTTCACACTCCTGGACCATTGTGTATTGGCCGCCAGATGGGTCTGAGATCGTTCTTCGGGCACGCCATGAAATCGCTTCCTTTGAGGTGAGCGGGTCTGTACTGGCTGCAGTCGGACCGAGAAACCTCCGGCATCCTTTCCAGGCAGTCGCACACCGGAGCACCCGGAATGCTGCGTTGTTGGAGAACAAGTTGAAAGGTCGGTCGAACGGGAACAGATAGGTGGTAGTGGGTGGAACAACGGACGGGGCATGCTTGTTTTGTTGGATTGCGAACGATCCAAGCACTTTTCTCAATGAGTTACCTATCCTAGCGCACCAGCCAACAAAATGTAGTTTGTAGGTAAACCACACCGAGATACCGAGATGGGGGCTGGCCCCAACAATGCAGCGCAAAAGTATTATCGCTCAATGTATTTCACCCAATGCACTACATAACTCCTCATGAAAAAACAAAACCTTGGCAGACTCACTGTCCGAAGTAGCCCTTCTCCTCAACGTGATGATTGTACGCGACGTCCAGAGCCAGATATATAATGTACTCGTCGCTTGAGCCCTCGGGCCACACCAATCCATGGCAGTGCACATCTCCTTCGGATTCCCCGGGGAACTCTGTGCTTCCGTAGCGATAGACATCCTGTGATGTAGAAAAAGAGGGACGAAATCGACAAGAATTGATTACCATATCCGCATGCATACTTTGTGTGCGCGTCACGTACGTAGGTAGTATCCTTGTTGGTAAAAATCAACAGGCAGCTCAACCTGAGGCATGAAACGTGTTTCGTCCGATCACAAACGGCGAGAACTGTCGCGATTGGTGGGAGGGGTTACAGGCGTCTCATTCAGCCTATTCGTTGGATGAGAAGTCTACAGCGTGAGTGTAGCACGCAAGAACACCTCGTGTCGCGGTTGGTGGGAGGGGTAACAGCGTCTCATCCAGCCTATTCGTTGGATGCGAAGTCTACAGGGTGAGTGTAGCACGCGGGACCACCGCGCTTATAACGGTGTGGCGTTTGTCACATCTCACCGTGTTGTCTGACACAGGTTCTTCCCCCACCCTGCTGCTCCAGCAGCACATGAACGTGTTGAAGGCACACTTCCCGAAGTCGAACGCATCGATTTGTTCTCCAGCATTGTCGTTGTGGTCCAAGAACTTTTGCCGAGCGGGTTTGAAGGCCAAGGACTTGGCGGAGATGGTGGGAGCCAGAAGCAGCCGTCCGATTCAAACGGCGAGGATGGTCTTGATGTGAGCCGATTTCATCATGATTCTCTCGTTGAGTAGGGCGCGCATGACCAAGGGTGGCAGAAGAGGAGGCTTGTGGGTGGGATTGAAACGAGCCTCATCCTGAATAATCCTGAATAACGGTTCGTGAACAACGAGAGGAAGTGCATTGACCGGCCCCCTCTGGACTCACTCCTGATAAAATTTTGGTGCAAACTCCGGCTGAAACTTCGGCGTCCCATCATACGACGTGCACCATGCATTTGTGAACGAGAACGGGGGCCACGGCTTTGAGGTCACAGCGTATCGAACTATTTACTTTTGGTTAGGCGTTTTTCTCTCGGCTGATTTAGTCATTCTTGTTCTTCTGGGACCCATCAATCGATGAACATTCTGCAAGAGCGGTGGAACATTCTATGGGTTATCATGTACATGTAGTTTTCTTCGTGCGCTCAATTATTAACGCGAGAACATCACCCTTTGCGAAAAAAGCACCTCCCAGCCACAGTGCGTACAAGAACCAGATTTGATGCATACTGGCTCTCGTTGTCCACCAGATAACAATCTTATCCAATCTACAGTACTGGGCCCTCTATAGTGCCGATTGAATAGTGCCGGTGTCCGGTATAGTGCCGGTAAAATCTCTGGACACAGACGGCGCCCTCGACACAATTGTAGTACCGGTCCGGCACTATTGAGGGCAGCCCCGATATAGTGCCGGCTGGGCACCACAGCGCCCCGCAATAGTGCCGGTTTACACACACACACAAGAACGATGGAGTTGAAAGCAAGGAGGATGATGGTGAAAGCACTCCAAAACGAACTCAAGTGCAAGTAGCAGCCTTCATAGACGTGTGCAGTTTGTTTCTGTTGCTACCGTTTCTATTCTTTGATCCGGAGAATAGATAAGTCTCCCCCATGCCGCCCCCTCACTGAGACTGACGTATTTTCATCGATCAGCCGGTTAGCGCGGTTGATGCTAAATATAATTAACACACAGACAACACAGCCGGAGGACAGACTCTACTGTATACGCTGCCCCAGCACTACTTGACGTGGACATTCCTTGTGTTGAGGCACGCATACCATACGATCCTAACGGTTTCCCCGCACCACCACCAACGATTGTTTCCGCTGGTAAATCTGAATCGCACGTCTTCCTCTTGCCTTGCCAGCGAACCTCGAGTGTCGATCGATTACAAGAAGAATCCACCCAGGGTCCACGCCAGGAAGGTGTTCCTACTCGTCGGCATAGACTAACGACGTACAGGCTTCATGCTCTTGTATGGATCGGTTTATTGTGTGGTATGTACTGCTGTGTGTGGTCTCCTTTCGTCTATTCGGAGCTCCTGCCTATGCCCGCCTCTGTAGGTTGAACAGCCTCGGGCCCCCTCAGATAGCAAGGCTACTGTGAAGGCGCGTGATAAATTTCAGAGCACTACAGAACGTGTGTGCCCATCCATCTGGCAGCGGCCGAAACATCGGCGGCGGGGTCGCATGCACGTTGCTGCTGCGCTACTGCTGCTTGCGGAGAGAACGGTTGGATGGATGTATGATCGTAGTATCGAAGAAACACCGTGCGGTGAGCGAGAACCGGCGGTTTCCACGTTATAGACTATTATTATTAGAGGGAATCCACGTGTTGTTGAAATGACGTGAAAGATTGACATTTCAGGAAGTTTTGACGTGAAGAGGTTGCGCCGCTTTTTTGGGGGCAAACTCTGACGGCGAAATTTTTGTGAGGAAGCGTCAAAATTAAATTTCACCCAAACATAAAACGACGCGAAAAGATTGACGCTTCAAACATCGCCAGACTGTGGCTCACACACGCTTGCTCTGCTGCGGTCTGCTGTGCGCGGTCAGCAGCGAACACATTGGTCATGCCTATACTGATTGCTCCTAGCGGTCCTGCACCCACGCGTCTCGGCAGTTCTCACGGCGGCCAAGTGGCCAGACGCGCGTGTTCGGCGCGCGCGTTCGGTAGATGCGCCGTCGCGATTGCGCACGGGCTTTCAGCAGCAAAAAGGGGCATAGGCAGGGGAGTGATTGGGGGAGTCTCGCCCTCGAAGGCAGCACATGGAGAGGAGTAAGGGAGGGTACACGGACTTTGCCAGTCAGTAGGTGCATTTCGCCCGCCCCCTCACGGGGTTCGGTGCTCTGCTGCCGCAGTGACATCGGTATATACACAGCAGTACAGCGAGCAGCTGCCTTACTCATCAGCAACGAACGGCAGTTTGACGCCTGGGAAGTCGCAGTTTGACGCCTGGGAAAAGTCGCCGCGGCAAAGGAGGGAAGGTCGGCGGGATGAGGCGAAGGGGTACACCTAGTCTCCTGGGAGCCTGGGGGTGTGAGTCTTCGCTTCGGAATGTCGACCCTGGGTGGCAGCCCGAACCAACCTTGAACTCTACCTCCACCATTTTTTTTTTTTCACCTCTCACGTGTCAACGGGCACACGCGGTGCGAATTTTTTCCCGTCAAAACCCTCAACCGTCACTTTATGTTGGCGTCAATCCTCAAAGGTCAAAATTCCGCGTCAATCCATAGTGGATACCCTATAATGTAACATACCGTCATCGACAGACATCTAGTCTCTAATCAGACTGCACCTACGAGTACGCCTACATCATCAACAGACGACGTGTGCGTAGATGTGCCCGCTTACGGTGGGTACGGCTGACCGGGGACACTGAGCACCGAAGCGAAGGTTGGGTGTGAGTGCGTGTAGGCGGGGGTTGTGTTGTGTCTTTTGGGGATGGGGGCGGTTGCAACAGGGAGGGTAGGCGTATCAAAGATCCAGATATTATTCTCCCGTCGGAGATTTGAGGGTTGAGTGTTGTTTGATTGTCAACTTGCAACTTGCCGCGTTGCAACAACAGAGAGAGAGGTCAGCGATGACCTCGCACGAGAACCCTGACTGTGCTACATGTCCGAAACCACTTCATCCACCCCAGGCCTGGGTGTGTGTTGGTTGCTTCCACCGGTGGCAGGTGGTGATCTCTCTGTCTCTGCCGACTGCCGACCAAGTCATGTCGTCATATCCCAAGTGGGAGATCGGGAGTTGTACACACGGCGCATCAAAAGTAACAGTCCCGTAGGTCTCGCCTACTCAACCCCACAGCTAGGCAGCTCGGCTAGGCAAACGTAACACAGCACAACGGCCATCATCACGCCCGGTACTCAGCACACGGTCGATGCAGGAGTTGTCTCTGGACGATGGTTCGCCGAAGGTAAAAAATTAGGGCGTAGAAAAACGAACTGCAGCAGCAGAGAGGCAGGCAACTGCTGGTGCTTGTGCGGTCCTGCTGTCCATCGCGCTTGCTATGCATAGCTTACTGCTTACCCTCTTCCGGACAACCAGTAGGTCTGGCTCTGTTGGATTGGGGCGCCGTTTTTGTTTGGATATGGGTCACCAGCCGTAGCCTTAGCATGGTAGGCGGATAGCAGCGAGTGTTGTGATTTTGGTACACGTGGTACCCATGGAACTTCGGGTTGGGGCATGCACGTGTCGGCAGGTACATCTCCTGAACGTGCAGAACCTTTGTGCTTGCTAAGACACAAGCGGACTCACGGGCATACATACGTAGATAAATCTACTGCTGTAAACCCCAGTACCTTGGGTTGGGAGTGTTCAACCGGCAGCGCTAGAAACCCCGAAGCATTGTAACGTACAGCAGTAGCCAGACACCGTCGACTCCCCGAGAAAAAATGGTCGGAGTTGCATACGGTATCTCTTGGCACTTGGCACACACACACACTTGGTGTGTCTACCAACTCTGAAGATGAGAACGCCCCCGACTTGACCGTGCGTCTCAAGTCTTCTCTGGATGGCCAGCTTGCCTTCCTGCTGGGGGCAGCTTGCTTGTCAGTATCTTTGTACGAGCTACCGTGGGGTACATGGCGTAAGATACCACACCCCCTGGATGGATTTTCAAAGCTTGATATTTCCTGTAGAGCAGAAAGAGTGGCCGCGCCGAAAACGGCGCCTTCGAAGTTGTCTCGTCGTCGAGAAAACCTTTGGTTTCATTTGCACGTCATCATCTTCGTCGTGGAGTATTCGAGCTTTGAAAGTCGGTCCAGGGGGTGTGGTATCTTGTGTCACCCATGTTGGGTACGCAAGGCTATGGATAGGAGTGCTCTTTACAAGCTAATTTTCGAGGCTCTGGAGCCATCGCGGTGTGTTCTTGACTCAGGGCGATCTGGTCTCCTCTGCCGATCTGCTGGCAGGTACCACAGCTGTCGGATGGTGTACGGAGCCCCTCTGCTAGCGGTCTTGCTCCTGGCATTGGCCACCGGGCACCAGTCGCCCCTAGCCGTCTCTTCGACAGCAACACGTGACGCGGCGCGATCATCATCACCATGCAGGCGGCTGTGTTTGTTTGGAAACCCTCTGGGCGTTTCCAGACAGGGGTGTTCTCGCTGCAGCCAGAGGGATAGGTGAGGGGCTCCGGAGGATGGTTTTGGTTCGGTCCGGGGGGGGGTGGTGATGTGGTGACGACGGTACGGCGGGAAAATGTAACGGCAACATTGCGGGTAGACTATTTGACAACCTTGACATTTGCGCACAGATGGCGACAAGTTTACGCTAGGCTACAATATTGAGCACGCATTTGTTCGAGCTCACATTGGGAGAGATCCGTTGCACTGCCGTCATGCATCTCCACCATCTATTTTTTTTTTGTGCACCAAGCGGGAGCAATTGCACCCTGCTGGCGAAACCAGAGAGCCGCCCAACTCTGCCGTGATGCAGGTGCGAGCCTCCCTATCCCCCATACCCCCTACCCTGCCCAGAATGAAGGGACCACGGTTTTCCAGCAGGTGAAATCATCTTAACGCTGCGTGCCGGAACACCGAGACCTTCGGCGTTGGCGGTGGGCTTAATTTGTGAACAACCCGCCGCTCCTAGGGAAACCGTGGCAAACCGCGGAGATGGGTAGCGACTTCAACACACGTTGACCACCGAACGGTTGGTGTTCCTTCGTCCGTCAGCCCACACTAGTCATGGTCGTATCCCCTAGCCAGCCGTAGCCCTCGTCGTAACCCTAAACTTAACCTTTTGCGGCAAACGGTGTTGCCGACCTTCTGTATCGGTCTTGCGCCGGCAGCCGGCCGCGAGTGGGGGCGGCGAGGGTGCGCAGGAGGGGCTCGGTCTCGACCACGGAAGCTCTGCATGGGGACAGCAGCAGCAGCTGCTGCCGCGGCGGTCGCTCGTCGATGATGGACCCTCGTGCAAGACATGGGGCTCGGTCAGAGCGGGCATTGGCGGGATCTCTCAACTGTATGCAGCGGCAAGGAGCGGGATGGGGCGGCGGAGGCGGGGCGGGGCCGGTGTGGCGGTATCGCGTACCGGTGAGCCGCCGCTTTCGCCGCCTCGAGCGCGCGACGTTTTTTTTTTTTGTACACGCGACGTCATGGTTAGTTTTCCCTTCTTCCTCTTCCGTGCCTGACTTTTTTTAACGAGGGTGGTCTACCAGCCGTGACACCCACCGTTGTAGTTGTTGGTGTTTTTTCGATTTTGACGGCCAATCATCGTGTGGTCTGTTTCGTCGGCGTCTTCTTCCGGTCTATGCATAGCTTGCTTCCTGCTTCTGTTCCTTCGCATAAACGCAAGTCTTTTCAAGGGGGGTTCGGTTTGGGCTTGATCTCTCACTGTCTGTCTAGCGTGACGGTCCCGGGTGTAGGTAGACCTACTCCGTTCGAGCACCGTCGCCGCCCCTGCTACTACTTCCTTCGAAGATGGGGGCGATTTTGAGAAGAGGCACCGTACCGGCCGCTCCATTCGTTTGTACACGCCAACCGACTCCAAAAGAACACGCGAGGTCTGAGATACCCATGACACGACTTCTACTGTACGGGATGGGGAGTCCCCTTACTACAACAGTAACGGCGGAAGAATCCAGAAAGAACTCCGTGATTCACCGGGGGGGGCACGCAAACGAGAAGCGCAACCGACAGTACCCCACGAAACGCTTGGCTGGACAGGCACGATGAGGTCTCAAACATACTGGTATAACTGCTGCTGATACATTCTCTGAAAGTCCTGTTGACACGTGTTTCTTCAACAATCGTTTTTGTCGTCCGTATAACTCATGTTTTCATTGCCTGGGTCTCTACCTCCCGGTACACTCCGGGCGTAGCACCCCCCCCCCCCCCCTTAGTACCGCGGTGGAGGGATTACGTAATAACTTTTGCGACAGTCTCTTGGTTCCTAATACGGCGTCCGTTCCTACTTTCAGAGGCAACTCGGTCGGGTGCATGGGGGCCGAGCAAGCGACGAGGAGGCCAACAGCCCCAGGAGGAGCCCTGCTGCAACAGGCGGCGAAACTAGCGACGGTTCGGGAAAAGGTCCTTCCCCGAGTCAAGCTCTCAAGGCGTTGGTGAAGAAGCTTCCGGAAGGGTGGGCGGAGCTCCGCCGCGCGATGTACGCCTTGCGTGTGTTATGATCTTCGAATGTGTTTACTTTTTCATCTATGCTTTCTTGTTTTTGAAGGAAACTGACAACGCGGTCCAACGCTCAGCCTGTTTTGTTTTTTCCCTTGCAGTTTTTCAGAGAGTGATCATCGCACTGTCGCGTTGCATACGATGTGGTCCTGCTTGAGTTGGCAGAAAATTCGTGGTTTCACCAGGCCGGGACTAGCGAGCGCACTTGCGGTATGTACGCCCAAGAATCGTGACGGTCCCGAGGGGGATTATGTTATGATGTATATCCCTTCTTTGCTCTCTCTTGCCTGCGAATCTCTCCGCCTCTCTGTCTGTCTGTCTGCCTTTCTCTCTCCTCTCTCACGATTCACCCCCATTCGTTTCTCATGATACGGTACCCCTCGAGACCCTGTCACCTACCCCCTGTCACCTACCCTCTCCCCCTCCCTTTCACGCACTCCCTCCCGCGAACGCAACAGCGCGGCTGCCGCAAAAGCGAAAAAGGATCGTTCTAGCACGCCTCAATCAGGGCAGGCCGAGGACGAGGGTTGGGTCGATCTGGACTACGAGTGGGCCAACATGCCGTTCACGGAGGCACTAGGGGGTGGGACAAACCCCCTCGAGTTCGTCTTGGACATGCTCCCCGGCACGCGGCGGGGGATCTCCGGCGAGGAACTGGACGACGCCTATGCCATGATGCCCCACATACAGGTGCTGCGCATGTTGTGGTTGCTGCTGCTGCTGCTGTTGTTGTTGTTGTTGCTTTTTTCGCTTTTTTTTTAATCGAATGGGCCTCTTCGCACGCGCAGACAGTCCACAGGAGGGGGCCCCGTTGGATGGTTGCGTACCCTTGTCTTTGTGCATCATCACCCGTGTAATTGTGCGTATCTTGTGAGGGGGTATTACAGCACGCACGCGCGAACGTTAATCGTTACAGCAGTAAGCGTGGTGGCAGCGGTGGAGGGGATGTTTGATCGTCGCGCCGGTTGACAGCGTCCAATCCATTTTTATTCCACCAGCACGCGCCCAACATTGTTCTGCTTGCATGTGTTCTGCTCATACTCAGTTTTCAGCACTTCACTCTCCATCTTTTGCTACAAAAGCTTGAACTTGCTCATTCCACAAATCACACACGCCCGTGCTTGATACCCTTCTCGACAGAATATTAAAAGAGAGTGTTTCCCACTATATTGAATCATTTCAATGCCAGAAGGGTTTAGCCGTTATTTCCCGCGGGTGTGCCTGGGAGCCTAGCGCCTCCGCAACGAGGAAAGCGCCGTGTTGTCAGCGGCTCCGTCTCCGCAAGGATACCAACTGCACCGCCGGTGCTGCAATACCGCAACTAAATTCCGTCGTCCCTCAGCAGACATGCCATGTAGCTTCCATTCGTCCCTAGTTTGATTCACGGTGGAGTTCCGTTGGGACTTACCTTCTGAATCGATGCACCTCTCACAGTAATCCCCGCAGGTATTTCTAAGTAAGCAATATTACTGGATAAAATATAGAATCGGCTGAGTTGGGGGTAGGGTTAGGGTTTGCGTGCCCCCTTCCTGGTCTTTTTGTAATGAACTTGCGTTCTTTGCGCAGGCAGTCCCCACCGTCATACCCTCTCTACGGTGCCCCCTCTGAATGAAGGTACATGTACCTGTCTCGCTGATTTCCTTTCAGTGGTGCCCCCTCCTCTCGTGTTGTATCTGTCTTGTACCACACATCGGCACCAACAACTCGCCCACCCTGACGCTTGGCGTTTTCAGGAATCTCTGATGGAGAAGACGGGGTGGGAGGGGACTGGGACGGGCTACGAAGACACCCCCGTGGGTTTCTACAGGGTAAGAAGGACTCGATTTTCGGAACAGATTTCCGGTTTCGTCGCCGGACGCAAATATCTACGGCCGAGTCTGTTCCAGGCCTTTGATTGCGCCGCGTGTGTGGTTGCTTGCAAGAAGACAGTTGGGGGTTGGTTGGAGAAGGACTGGCCTTAGATCACCCGTCTGGCTCGTTGCTATTGCGTAGATCGGTGGTTTGGTACCCCCTCTGAGGGGCTGGCTCAAGGAGCGCCTGCTGCTGCAGCAGCCGTTGCCGGACGGAGTACGTTTCGGCTGCTAGGCGGGCCTCGGTCGCTGGCCCGCACAGCGACAGCAGGTTTTGAATCTGTCTCCAAGTTGAACACGCTACAGCTGTAGGGTGATCCGCCCCCACGGTATCACGACGACGAATTTGACTCCTAAATGTCTCCGCCTCCGCCGCCGTTTTTGATCTTACCCCCGCTCAGCCATATTTGGTTGACATTTATCGTAGGAAGCCTGAAACGTGAGGGAGGATGAACTGGACAGACAGTGAGGAGCGGGATCATTTTTTTGCTGTTTTGCGTGGACTTCAAGGTTATTTTTTTTTAGCTGGCCCAACATGTTATATATCTCCCGCTCTACAGCACGTACGTAACGCAACGCGGTTCCGTACATCAGCTCTGAACCACAAGCTTGCTTTGTTCATCGGCGCTTGTCGCTCGTTCCCACATGCATCATCCAACCGCTGCCTCTCTTTCATCTTTTTCTGAAAAATACAACACAAATGAGACCGCAGGACACCAACCTGAAACCGTTGAACTGGAGGGACGCCATGGTGTCCATGAAGCCCGGGTCGGGCACGTTGGGGCTCGACCCTCACTTCGACGACACCTCCGGAAGCCCCGAGCAGGTAGAGAGACGTCGGGAGCGTGGCTTGCTCAAGGGCGTGGGAACTAGGTACAGGGGTCCCCCGCCGGGCACGCATGGCCCTTGGCGATGGGGACAGCTGGTCAAGGGCTCCGCGTTGGAGGAGGTGAGGGAGCGGCAACGTGCATCGCTATGTGCAGCGGTTGTGCAATGTAGGGTTTTCGTCTTGAACGGAACAAGAGGAATCTCGAAATTTTCACTCAGATGTAAGGTCAAGACGGAAACTGTAGAAGAGCGCTTGCACGCGAGTGTTTTCGCACTGACGGCTGGCGGTTACGGCGGAGGTCACTCTTGACTCTTGGCGGTGTATCGGCTAGTCGTGTGGAGAAGACGACGCTCGGTGATGATCCCCTCCTCGCTGGACATTTCAAGACGGATGGGCTCAGCTCTTGGTGCATTGACGTGCACCGCTTGCTAACTCGCATGTCCTCCTTTCCTGCCTTGCAGTAGTATGGCACGGCCAAACTGTGTATGAACGAGACGCCTCCATTTCCGCTAAACCCGAAGAAGTTGTGTCGTCGCCAAGCGATTCGTCACAGAGACCGGTCGACGGTAGTACCCACACACACGGCCACTGTGGATGGCACGACCCCTCGCCATGGCCTAGGCCACCGCAGCTGGTACTGTGGCGAACCTTTGCACGCCCGGATTCTTCCTTGGCGCGATACACGGGCCACAATCAATGCCCCCCGATAGCCGTGCCGGCAGTTGGCGTGATTTTCTCGCATACGCCGAGTCCGTATTAAAACGGCCGTTTCGTCTTCATGTTAGCTGAGCTTCCCGTCCGACCGGCCATTTTTTTTTTGTGTTTTGGTGCCATTCTCGTCGCCGTCGCAGAAGCTGAAGGCCGAGATCGCGTCGTTCCCCCGCCGGCTTCCCAGGAGAGTGAGGCGTTACTACCACGACAAGGTGACTGATGCGATGGACATGGTTTTAGTAAATGGTACGGGTGATGGGTGAGCGTTGGGGGGTTAGAGTTGCGACATCCCCCGTACATATTTCATGTGTGTATGATGATATTATCGCGATGGCGCTCCGCGATGGTGTGGGCGGCGGCCGTGGGTGGCAATCGTCAGAGGCCGAAAGAGTAAAATACACGGCTCACGGCCTTCGTCGATCAACGAAATTAACGCGTGGTACAACATGCAGTTGTAGCCCCTCAGAGGTCCCGCCGTATCATATTACCCCCAGGGTCCCCGTAGATGGGCATCAACCCCAAACATGGCACGAAAACATTTAGACTGCACCAATCAACAGTAGAAGTACCTTTGAACGAGGACGAACCGTTATCCAGGGGGGCTACGGTGACCCGCAACGGTGCACAAGGATTGGACCCAGGAATTGACCCCGATCTCTCTCTCGCTGTCAATGGCAAGACTTCGGCCACATGCACCGTGTATCGTCTTTCGGCGGATCGGGCGGCGGTAATGCAACCCGGCTTCTCGAGTCGGCTTTCGCCGGTTGCTGTCGTCCCTGTCACCTATTCCTGTCGCGCGAGATAACACCTGGCCGTCCAATGAGACTGTCAACTTGCCACCTTTCCCACCATCCTCGAGCGGAACAGTAACCATGGACTATCAATCCCTGTGATGTTCGGACAGGGTTGCGAGCTGCATACCTGCCGCACTCATACGGCTGAACACGGTCCGGTTGTATATCCCCACCCTCGCCGCCCCATCCGATTGGCACGCTTATTTTTTTTTCTTGTGAAGGTGGCGTGGGTGACCGGAGCCGACCACGGTCTCGGAGAGCAGATGGCGATCAACCTCGCCGTCAACGGGGCTAGAGTGAGTTACCGTACCGGTTGTCGTTGTAATTCCGCCTCAAGCGGACAACAAAATACATCCGTCTCCGTCGAGGTATCTCGAGCCGCCCCGTCAATCTTCACGAACGGACGGTGTGTGCATTCATTCTGGCGTCAATACCGGCCGCTGGGTTTGGGGTACCCATCGAAGATGCGCTCGTTGTTCTATTTACTACGATAGCGCTGAAGGCCTCCTTGTCGAATCCCTACCGACTTGTGTCACCACCATTTTTCCTTCCCCGCTTGCTTTCTTCTCTCGTCGCTTGCATTCACAGCGGGGTGTATGTTTTGGGAATTTTGACCGTAGTATGTCATCTTGTTTGTGATGGTATTACGGAGCCCCCTAGATCCTGGGTGACGGCTCGCTCACTGCTCTTCTTCCCGCGTGCTCTGTTTTTGTCCCGTCCGTCTCAAGGTTATTTTGTCGGGCACGAGCTTGGAGGAGCTCGAGCGCGTGCAGCGGCTCTGCATCCTGGCTTGGATGAAGGCCGTCGACTGGGAACTCTTAGATGTGCGTTCCTCCGTTCGCTCGTTTCGTCGTGCGATTGGTCTTCGGTGTCCCCTGGTCCTGAATGACGATGCATCGTGGCTGCGTTGTAGGACTTGCGTGCTATGAATACCGTACCTTCCCACCTACACTATACGTGTTTATTGCCCCCCCTAGTGATTCTGCAGAGCCCCTCTCACCACTCCGGTGGGTTTTAACGCGATGTAGGTGTAGTTGGGCCACGGTGGACCGCATGAACTTGCGCCCCCCCTCCCCCCCCCCTCCCCCCCCCACGCTGTGTCTGATCATCCTGCCGTGCATCGCGGACCGAAACAGGCGATTTTGGAAGGCTTGACTCGATTAGACCGAGTCATGATCATGCCTCTGGACGTGCGCGACACCTTCATTCTCGACCACGCGACGAGGAAAGCCGAAGACATGCTGGACCGCCCCGTCGGCATGGTGTTCCACTGTCAGGGCGGCGGCGTTGTTGCTGGGGAGTGGGACGAGGAGGACGAAGAGGGGGAGGAAGAAGGAGAAGGGGATTTGGATCTCGAGGTGAATTACTATTTTTTGAGGATCTACCTGTAATCACAACTGGGTAGTGGCGTATCGGTTGCTTGGAGGGCATCTACCTATCGTCATTACATAGCTGCATCTCGATTTCTTTGCCTCTTGCGTTACTCTCGGTGGTGGTGCAAAACCTGCTTCGGGAAACTCCACCTGTATGCAACTCACAACTACATGTAGGTTGCCCCTCGATTCCACCCCCTGTAGAATTGCTCTGCATGGAGACCTGACGGCTGCTTGGGTTTGAACGAGAGGGTGTCGAGCGGGACAAAGGCTGTGGGAGTGCCGGCTGCGCTTTTCGATATGATGTTTTTTTTTTTTCACCGGCATCCGCACCACCTTTGTTTCGCGAGCTTCGTGTTCACTCCCGCAAGGTTGAACTTTGTGTTTCCCGGTACAACGCACGGCAGCGTAGCTGCTTTGACCGCCATTTTTCACGTCGCTTTGTCGTCCGTCCGTGCGCTTCTCCCAAATTTGTGTCTGAAACTGGTGATATCATGCTTCGATGTGGGGCCGCGCGCCAAACCATCGTCTAGTAGGCGTCGGGGAACCTCCGGGGAGCTATCTCGCTTACGAAGGCCGTGCTCCCGAGCATGTTGGATGAGCAGGAGGGACATTTGGTAGTGCTGGGCGGAGATGATTTTTTCACGTCCCGTGAGGTGAGCATCCCTCCCGCGGCGAAAACATTTTTTTGCGGTCTTTTTTTTTCATTAATACGACTGCTGCAGGCTCTTCATTCCCGCAAGTGACGGGGTGTGCAGCGGGGATGAAGTTTTTTTTTTCCTTTTTGTTTGCGGGATAGATCTCCTTACAGCTTGTTGAGCGTATTCTGCAAGTCGCGGTTTGGGTAGAGGGTTGTTGTTTGTGCGCTTCTTGCATCCGCCCTGCTTGGCATGCAGTCATGTTCATGTCTGTGACGCGACGGTTTTGCTATCGAACATGTCGCATGGTGCAGTCGAAAACTGATGTGCCACGTGGAGTGCAAGTCGTGTTCCTGGGCATGTCTAAACAGCCACGGTAAACTTTCGCTCCGGAATATGTCCGAGCGAGCACGGTGCAATCTCGTTTCTCCTTCATTTCCGCCTGCCTTGCGATGTTTGTGTCAAACTGCTGTACCTCGGCTCTCTATTTTTCTCGTTACGCTACCACAACACCGGCAGGAAACGTCTTCTCCGGCGGGGGTCGTCTCGTCAAAGCACGCCGCCCGAGGCTACTTCGACCGTCTTCGAAGAGAGGTTTCGAGAGACGGCGTGAAGGTCACCACGCTGCTCCACCACAGTGGTGAGGGATGCTAGCAAAACGTCGTGACCGCGACTGTTGCTGCAGCACAATGTTGTAGTGTACGACTTTCTTTTGGTCTCAATAAGGCGCAGAGGAAAGAGTGGCATATCCGCAATCACAACGTTGAGACATGTTTCTCTATGCCGCCGCGGTCGCTGCTGCTGCTTCTTCTTCTGCTGCTATTGCGCAGTTTTGATAACTTGCATTTTTTTTGTAGCTCAGCACTAAGGGCGTGGAGGTAGTCGCGGTGAGTGTTATTGCTAGGTGAACTGCGCCGAGTTGACACTTCAAATGTAGAGTGCACGGCGAAGGCATTGGTTTGAAGGAAGCTGAGCGTTCGTGCATATTCTTGACGCTCCCGTCCCACTTGCCTCTTGCTCGCCCCATGCAGGGTGCACGGGAAGTGCTTCGGCACTGCAAACACCTTCGAGTTTTGGAGGCGATCCTGCCGCTTCAAGGGCCGCTATCCGTACGGCAACAGCACCAGCTGGTCGAGCACAGGCGCCGATAGATACGGCTACCGCCGCGAGGAAAGCTTTGGTGGCGGTTTCTCGGGCTGAAACCGAGGTATCCTTGCGTAGAAGAAGCTTGCCCGGGCTCACGGGCTTGGAGGCTCGGGTGCGCACGCTGCCGAGAAGGCTTAAGAGGCGCCGGAGTTGATTCGATTGCTGAACGGGGACAGGAGCGCGAGAGGGTGGAGTGCGTTGTCTTGTTGTCTGGGGTTGTGTGGACGTGGTCTTGTATGCTACTAGTGCTTTCCTCAGGTTCCTTCGTGGAAGATTTCGTGCGAAAGTGGTTGCGGGGGAGTGGCAGTGTCTAAAAGGCGAATAGCTTGGCTTGGCGTCTGTCCCAGGGTCTTGGTTCGTATGAGTTTATTGCGTCCAAGGGATGGCCGTCGTGAGCGTCGTTTTACTGTCTTGAAGATCCACTGAACTACAAAGAAGCTCGGTTTCCCTACACAATATCAGGCATAGAATATTTTTGCGGTTTGCTAGACCAGCCTAATATCATGTCTACGGTACCGAGCACAGATAGGGAGCATTTTTTTCGTGCAGACAGCAACATGCGCCACGCACGTTTCCTGGAAGAAGCGGTGCGCTCCCGCACAAATCTCGACTGTCAGTTTCGACTTCGGAAGCCCCGAGTATGCACTCTAGCATAGAGCACTATGGTTGATGCTCCACCCGCATTTGTTTTCGCAAATTTGGGATTCAGATTCGTTCGTACCCTCTGTTTCCTTTTATCCTTTTGACTTTGCGGGAATATGCTTTTGCAGTAGGGAATATGTATTTGGTAGGCTACATACAGCAATGGCAAAGAGCCCATTCGAGACGATATTACACCAGTAGACGAGGTGTGTTCGAATTTGAACAGCAGTGGAATGTTGAAGAACAACATTTGTGTACTGGGCATGATATTTTGAGTCGCCGCCCATCCATCTGTGTAATACTTTCCGTGATGCCAGCCTGCACAAGAATAACGACATTGCGAATCTTCATGATGAAGAGACGTCCGTACACCGCGGTGGATACGAGCTAAGGGCTGGTCCTAGAAAGTAGGCTGGTATGCAAAGGACCGCGGTATATGTACATGTAAGATTTGGTCGCTAATCATGCTTCGGCGTTTCTTTCTCTCGCCCCAGCGAGTCTTTTCTCGCGGTTCCTTCTCCCGGGCACGCAGGAGGCTCGTCGGTACATTAGCGCCCGCGCCCGCGGAGCTCAGTAGGCCTCCGTGGCGCGTGTGGTTGACGGCCAAAGTTGCGAAAACTGACTCAAAACCCCGGGGACGCGTTCCAAAGCCTGGCGAACCAATTCTGAAACCTATCAGACCCATCAAATACGACGATTTGAAATGTTGGCCTCTTGCTTTTCCACTTTCATTAATAAGTTCATTCGATGATTCATGGTTGTGACTCTTCGTGTCATTGCACTTTGTCCAACAGCAGTACCTACGTTTACCACACTTCGCAGCGGGCCAAGTGTAGACAAGTCTGAGAGAATGCATCCAGCCGCAGTGTTGAACATGTCCCATTTGTGGTGTTGTTTCGGCTTCAAATAATTTCGGTTCTCATCAGAATTCTGCCATCATTAGTCAAAGACATCATGGGAGTCTGAGTTTTCGCTGCCAAAATATTTTCCGCTCGCGCTGGCTCCAATGTAGAATATCAACGTGCGCGATGTTTTGTGCGGAAATAGAAGCGTTGTAAGACACACAGTCCCTCTTCGGGCAATGCGCATGTGGTCTTGCGTCACCTGAGGGAGGGTAGACACCCACGTCCCGAGACCTTGTAATTGGTAAATCTTGCGATATGGAGACCACCGTTTTCGAGCAAGTCGAAAGCACACGCGGCGATCACAAAAGCATGCTTGTTTGATTTTTTCTACATGCATGCATTCTCAACTCTCAGTCCCCGGACATCGCACGGGCACTGACGAAATCGAAGCGCGATGCTTATGGATACACAGATTATCGGTACAAGCACACCCTCATGCAGACAGCAGTACAACTAGACACAGAGAACTTCCGCCGCATTCTAAATCGGTCGTCCAGCGTATCCACAAGTGATCCGGATGTGTTCATGAGAGCACAGCGGTCTCATCAAGGGTTGGTGTAAAATGAGAATGCAAGCAGGGAGCGCGATCAACCCGCAGCTGGCTTCGAGCTGCGATGTGACGTTCCAAAGCTCAACAGCTTGCGTGTTTTATGCCATATGATATGTACACTCGAATAGCTGAGAACCGAGAACCAAACCGCCAAAGAACAAGAACCAGAACAACCAGGCGCGCTGCACCAGCACCCTGCACCAGCACAATGGTATATGACAATAAAAAAAAAAGATTTTTTTTTTTTATTGTCATATACCATTGCACCAGCACCCTGCACAGCGGAGAGCGGTGCCCCCAGTGCACTCCACGCATCTCTTTCCAGTGCTTTGCTCTTTCCAATCATTGTCGTGCATCCTGCACGCACCGCGCGGACCCCTGCAGAAACGACACGGGAGACGGAGACGACAGCAAGCAGGTAAACTGCGTTTCTTTCGGAGAGTTCAAGCGCGTCTGGCGTTCCTTCGTTGTGGTGAGGCCTCTCATCTCAAACCTATACTGGAGTACTGTACTGTGCTACCAACTGTGGTCAAACACATTATACGCATACCACATCGCTTCATGTAACCTAGACTAAGAGCTACCGATACAGCAGTACATAGTGCCCCCTTACCGTGTCACACTATTGCAGAACCGTAAACCCGTTTGTTCCCCTTCGAGGGGGGAAGTCGTACATGTGCAAACTGTGGAAACTTAGAAAGGCTCGAAATAAGTCCAGTACCCAGCCGGTTTTCCTCCACTCACTGAAAAGACTACACCACATCCCGTTCGACTGTGGGTATATCTCGAATGGGTAGTCTTTCTGTGTGTTTATTTGTTTTTTCTTAAAACTGTGGAAACTACACATACACACATGTATCTGGCGGTTCCCTCTTCAACGAATTCCTACACAATCTCCCGCGGGCATTCTATCGCTCTGTCTATTTCATACTGATGTACATGTAGCGGTTACAACTTGGATGGCTCACCGTTCTTGCCCGGTGCGGCGCCTTATTTGGTAACTTGAGACTTGAATATTGGAAGTGCGTATCGATGCGTCCCGTCGCACGGATCTTCACGGCGCTGCGGTTTTTTCTACTCGGTGATGTAAACCGCGCGAAACGCGGCCTTCGTGTCAGTGCCCTGTCGAAGAAAACCCCGGAAATACTACGGCAGCCACAAGATCCATGATAAAAGGACGGAGTAGCTTCAATTTATGTAGAGAGAGAGAGAAAAGGTGCCCGCAGTTTTCTGACTGGCCAACTTTTTGTTGAAGGGAAAGTTCCTTTGGTCGAAACTAAGTAGACCAGTAACCAGAAACGGGTATACCCGGGTACTGTATCACCAATTTCGGGTACACTTAGAAATCAAGACGCTTGCACGCCCAGGCTGTCAGCTGATTGGCCGAAAAAACTTTGTACCCGTTTCTGAAAAAAATTCTATCGGGTACAACTTCCGCTGGAATTAGGACCCTCCGGTGTAACCGATATTGGTTACTGTGTACCCGGAAGTGGTCGATTTTATACCCAGAAATGGTCATATAATCCCGGCGCCCGACGAGTCTAAACCCGCAGAAAAAACCGTATACCGCACATACCCGCACGACACACCAGTACCGCATAAACCCCACAGTAGCCACGTAGCCACACAAACGCCCAACGCTCGTTGACGGGCACATTGCCTCGAAGGATATCAATCTCCGACAGCCTCCTCCGTAGATCGCGGCGAAACCATCCGCCGTGCTCTGCTGCTGCTGCTGTGCTGCTGTGCTGCTGTGCTTCGGAAGCATGAGGCAGGTCGTGCCCGTTTCGTCTCTCTGTCATTACCTTATGTACGAGCACCATAGCGAGCTAAGTCGCGGATCGAGCGAGTTGGACCCCCTCTAGGAGAGGAGCCCGGGCCCACGAGTTGATAAATACGTGAAATTAGACTGGCTGGTGAAATTAACCAACGGGCACACAGGAGGCGCAACACCCGCAAATGGCGATGAAATGGCGATCGGGTCCTCCTTCCTCATGGGAATGCTGGTGGTGTGGACGCAACCCTCGCAAGATATATATAGCAGAGTTTGTCTCCTAATGTGCGACATGATAACAGCTCGCTGTTGATAGCTACACATGGTGTGCCGTGCGGGTATGTGCGGTACACGTTGTTTTCTGCGGGTTTTAGAGTCTTGGGTGCCGGGATTATATGACCATTTCTGGGTGCGAAATCAACCGTTTCCGGGTACACCAGTAACCAGCATCGGTTACACCAGAGGGTCTGGAGATGCCGCCGGCTACCTGGGGGTACCTGGGGGTGCAGGCGTGTTGATTTCTAAGTGTACCCGAAATTGGTGATAAAGTACCCGGGTATACCCGTTTCTGGTTACTCCTCAAGTAAGTAGTGTGCACATTGTGCTGTACATGGAGGCCGCCGAAGACAAATTTCGGCCGCTTGCCGGCCAGAAACTGAGACACAAGAGCTACACAGCAGTGTAATATTTCGTTCATGGTAAGGGCCTACAACACGCATGCATCACAAACGACAGCAGCTACATTCCTCACTTGCCTCTGTTGCTGTTCGACAACCACACTTAATCTTGCTCTCCTGCACGAGTAGCTTGGACAGGTGCAGCTTTTTTTCGCCTTTCTTGGTGTAGTGTGTGTCTGCATGGGAAAACCGTGGCTAAGCTGCGGCTGTTACAACTACCTATTTTCTGCATTGTTTTCTGCATTTTTTACCGCAACTTTGGCGACGGAGTAGGACAAACCGCACCGTGATTAAACCGTATCTATCTACGGTTCCGTATGAATTCCCACGATGCGGTGCGGTGTGATTTGTGCTGTCCCCAAAACTGACGGTGCGCTGCGGTGCTGTGCGGTGCGTTTTTTTCTTCTCGAAACGTGACGGTGCGGTGCTGTGCGGTTCACACCGTCGAACAAACCGCACCATGGACATGCCTGATTTCTTTCAATACGAGCGAGACGTGTATCTGCATGGATAACCGCAAACGGTGTTTGGTCGTTTTTTTTGTTTTGATCGATGAGAAGGCCCACACACTTCTCCATGCACAGCACAAAGCGCACACAAATCAACGTTCGATGGCCAATACCCAACGAATTTGCACGAAATGTCCGATATTCCAGCCATTTATTACTGACACCGTAGACTCGGCGGTTTTTCTTCGACTGTTCACCGTTTCCAACGCCGTCGCTGTTTGTGGTAATTATCATGGAGTAACAAAAAACGCACCGTAGAAAAACCGCGCGACGTGTTTAAACCGCGCCGCAAGGCAACGCATCGCACCGCACCGCACCACACCACACCGCACCGTGACCATGTGCAAAACAAATACCGACTACGGTGTTGTCCTGCTTTTTTGTGGGTATCCCGGGACTTTTCGTCGTGGTCTGAGCGAACGCGTATGGAGGTAGACAATGTGATGCCCTGGCAATGACAAGTCCCAACCGCTTCTCTTTGTGACAAGTCACGGATATTCATTGGGCAACACTTACCAACGGGTATTACGTGTGTCGTGTGTGATTGCTCCTTCCTCGGTCATTTTGAAATCAGTCAAAACCAAGGTCGATTGGCAAGAACCCCTCAATGCCTTAGGGCCGAAAAGGTCGGCGCGTACTCTTATGTTTTGCATGTCTTAGTGGTTAGAACATGGGCCATGTGTCCTCGAGAGGACGGAGCATTGTTCCCACAGGACCGATCACCGATGGCCAATCGTTCCTTCCTACTTTGACATCAAAGGTGGCTCAAAAATGTCTTCCCTATTATATCTATCCTATCGAGATGACTTCCCGCCTTTTGAACCCACTTCGCATGCCCCAATACAGCTACCTTCTTCTTCTCCTGGCTATTCCATACCTCAAACACCTCCCTGCACCTTCCCTCTACTTTTCCCAGCTCAGTCATGTACACTTCCCTCTCGTTGTACAACGGACACCTCTCGTTGTACAACGGACATTCCGCGACTACGTGAAGGGGGGGGGAGTATACTCAAGTCGTGCTGCCGTAGTCGTTAGAACCATTGACGTCGCATCCCTACCAAGCCGGGACGGAGCACGCCGAGTTCTCACCGGACCAGGCTCTCACATGCCTCAGCCAATATTGCCTCGGCAACAAGGACAAATTCGCCCCCCACCCACATTTAAAAGCATCGTGTAGCTGCCTCGAGGGTGCTTGCCCAATTGAACACAACGTGGTGCGATCATCCCCTTTGCGCGGAGTGAGGGTTCTCGACCCCACACTACACAATCTACTCGGCCACCGCTATGGTTACGCAGATAAAAAACAGAGGCAAATGAAACAAAAAAGCGGTCACCTGGTTGCCGAGTTCACGAAGTTATCGGCTCGTTTTACAACGTCGTTTCAAACCGACAAAAACCCAACCCCGATGGCGAACACCGGGGGGGGAGACCAACTACACTTGTTTTTGTAGTTTGGACTGTTTTACTTCCAGAAGATCGAGGGCGTACCTGCTCTCAGAGAACATTTCTCGAGAGACCATTAGCGAGACAAAGGCATAGGCCAACACGACGAAGTACATATCAGCCACGAGCGCAGCATTACGCGCACGCACAATGCCTATCTCTGTGGTGGTTGGGGCGGGTGTCATCGTCAGAATCAACGAGTTGCCCCAAGATATGAATAGAGAAATTTCGGTGGCGGGCAAGGTCACCCAGGTGCCACGCGTGCGAGATAGCAGAGACAGTGCAAACGGGAACCGAACACACCGTCTACTGTGTGCAACTTTCGCTACTGGAAACAACGCACACTACTGTGGGTTCCGACAGCAGTTTCATTAACGTTTATCTGAAATGAAGCACGGCTGAAGCAAGGATACCATGGCACGTGACATATGCAGTGCAATTGTCTTTCTCTCATCACTGTTCATCAGCTGCACTCGCAGGGGGGAGCACGAGTTAAAGGCTATTCTTACCTGTCGGGATTTTCTATCTGTAAGCAGCCGCACATGCATCGCGAACTATCGGAAACAACGGCTGGCTGTCTCAACAAGCTGTTTCACCCCCCGCAAACGCATTTAATTGGTTGAGTTTAACCCCGTCGAAAATGTTTTTCCTTGAATTGTGGACGATTTCTCAAGGAGCCGAAGAGCCAAGGGCTTAGGCTGGAAGACGGCGTACGTACGTCATGAACAGACGGACCGTTCCTGTCGTGAAGCTGAACTACTCTCTGGTGAGAAAATATGCTGGGCGTTTTCCACGCAAAATGCAGAGGTAAGGGGCCGAATAGAACAACAACAGACAGCCTGGTCTTACGCGAGTGAAGGTTGACAGCTTTTTCTAGCCCTCTCTCGTTTCTCGTCGTCTTGTCGTCGGTTCTGTTGGATATACTCACAGCATCAACAGATTGTTGCGAGCAAGAATTTTCCGAGCAGATGGGGCGGGGAGTTTGGGGGTTCAATAGTTGCTATGGATTAGATTTGGTGGTACCAACTTTATCACATATTGCAGGTTTGAGGGTATGGGTATCTACAACGGAATTTGTGTGCGTGGCTTGTGGTTCCTTACTTCCTTTTTCTGTGTATAATCAAGTCCTTTTTCCCGGCTCTCACGCCAATCCCGGCTTCCACGCCCATACTCCGGCTATCACGCCAACCCGGCTTCCACGCCTTCAGGACTCCCACGTCCCTACATATACCTTTACATCAGGGCTTCCACGCCACCCGGCTTCCACGCCACAACTATATTATACACGAGCTTCCACGCTCCACCACGTTGGAGGGCTTTCACGCCCGCGGATAGTTTCTACATTATTACCGTTGGCAGTACCCAGCTGCTGGCACCTTTTGTTTCCCGTCACGGGACCCCGCGCCGAGGCACCCACGCACAAAGCTACTCAATAGGTGCGTTGTGTTACGCAGGGACGGGGGGATGAGGGAGCGCCAACCGGTTCCAGCGATGGAAAGCCTCACAACGACAACGTGGCCTCACGCAAGAGCCTGCCAGCGGGGGAGAGTCTGCCAGAGGGCAAAACATTAGATGTGAGCTGGTACAGTTGTTTTTGGGGCGAGGAGCGAGGCAACAGCGGGGGGTTCGACAGGTGACTCACAGGAGGCCTTCGTTTACTTGTGTGTGCTTGCCACGGGTGACCAAGGATAGCTTATCATTCGGCATCGCGTTGTCGTTCTCTCTTGTGCTTGTTTGAAAGGTCGTGCGCCGCAAGAAGGAAGCCCTTTCGCGTGCGCAAGCTGCTGCCGAATCCATCTCTACCCATTCCGGACCGATCCAAGTGGCGCTGGGAGCGATCGCATTTTACGGTCATGGTTCGCTATGGAGTAAGGAGGTTATCGAGTGCATCCGTGCGATAGGTCGAAGCGTACACGAGCTCATCGATGACGTGGACGCGCTTAGGAAGCTATCCAGCGAGAGGGTTCGAGTGGCTCAAGAAGCTCTGGGGGAAAAGAATCACACCAGCTCTGCCTTGAAAGTGAGAGGGTTTTGACTCGAGGTGTGTTTCTTCTGAAAGGGTGGTAAACAAGCCAGAAGTCGTACACCATTGTCTCCCAATGCGTGTTCGTATTCGTATCGCTGCTGTCTGTATAGCCACGACAGGGGGGACGTACGACCTGACCCGACGGACAGCAGTTGCGCCTGCAATGCGCGTGCTCGTTGCACGAGAGAAGAAATGAATGTTCATTGCTGTTCTTGCGATGGTCACTTAGTTTGTGGAGAAAAACTACGCTCGCGACTTTGTTTATCTCCATCCCGATTAATTCTGGACGTCGATCATCACACCTTGCAGCACAATTCTGGACACACCAGCCGGGGTCACATAGGAGGAAAGCCACACAGATTCATTTTTCACCTCCTTCTGCGGTGCTTGCCCTAACGTTTACATGGCGAGAAGGATTCAGCCGCAACTTTCCCTCCGCGAGCGTGAAGTCGAATAGTTTGTGGGTACAACACACGACATTAATTCTTGAGTACGCACGACATTGTCGCTTTGCACATTGTGTGGGCATATTTTACGCAAATATCGCAGTTCGTGTGTGCCAGGTCACCTACTGGACCTAGGGTTAGGGTTAAGGGTAAACCTGTGCCACTGAGTTATACGTTGTGATGTTTGCATAGCTGGTGGTGTACCCCTGCCTGAGGTTCGGAGGTGCTCCGGAATTGGTAACTCTTGGTATCTCGCTAGTTTTGAAGCAACCAGCAAAGGGAAAACGCATTCATTCCAGGAGAGCGTAGCCGTCCCCGCACCCATCCTTCTGTGAGGGAGCCCTAGGTGCTGTTGTGCCTGGCGTGTGTTACGTGTACTCACGTTGTTCCCCCGCACATTCGGAACGACAAGGCCTCCACGAAGAAGCACATGAATGCAAACTGCGAGCGGACGACGTATAGTTGGCTCCCCAGGTCTAAGGTGAGATAAAACAAAACGTAGGAAGATGAGGTTAAGAAAACAAGCACTGGTTAGCAGTGGACCCCTACATTCCGTCTGGAGTACCCTGTGCTCTAGGTGGCGACGACGTCTAAATATACTCGACGAAATCGAGCCTCGACCCGACTTTGACATTTCTCTATCGCGGACCCGTTCTGTAGGCGAGGTGCCTCCACGGTGAAAGGGGGGTAAACACGACGTAACAGGAGGCATCAAAATGACAAGGGCTAGTCGGAAGATGTTTGGTGGATATTTTGTCTGCAACATTACCACTGCTGCACACAAAGAAGATATGGATGTCGGGATGAAAGACAAGCGCGGCCGGCCTTTGTCACACGAATTCTCAGGAGTGTGCTCGAGTGTCGTCGTCCTGCACGCGTTGACTCGCAAACCGTTCGAATGTGTTATCCCATTGTCCTGTGAGAACCTTTTGCCTTTTGGGCACGCCATTGAACGCAACATTGCATGCACCAATCAAGCCGAGGCCCTGACGGTGCGCACACATACTGTAAGACGGGCGATGAGATGGTTGCTTTGCAGCCGGGCCGCGGGGGAGCTGCCCAACATCTTGCGTGGTTGTGTAGCGTCAGTCTGGCGTATAATCTGGCATCGACTAACGAACATGACTTTGAATACAGAGAAGGCCAAGGACATGTTGCTTTGCACGGTACCGTCCACCACGCTATCGAAATCGACCTCGCTGTCGAAACCGTAACTCGGTCTTTGGAGAAGGAAAGCAAATCGCTACTTTAAAAAGAAACCAATTTGCGGAGATCTAGGGTCACATTACTGTGCGTCAAATACCTGATTTTTGTTTTTGCAACAGAGACTGAATCGCCTAGGCTTGAGAATTGTTGCCGTGCCTGTTTTCTAAGTGTACGATGTGCTCCTTGTGGGAGTTTGGAGGTTGCTGAAAATCGAAGGGTGGTGTGGCAACGGTAAACTAATTCCGGGAGAGGAAGCCCTGACTAGCCCAAATCAACTAAATGGAGGTTCGTTGCTTGTCTAAATGTTTCGATTTCTCCAACAGTCTAAGGCGGAATACATCCAAGAGTATCAGATGAAAAAGCAGGTTCGAGGGTTTTTCGAACACGACTCTCGATGCGCGCAAGCTATTGACGCCGACGTCACCACCCGCTCCACTTCGATCATAAGCGAGCTGGGGTTGATCGTTTGCGATGGTGATGATGCCATGGAAGCAAGGGTCGCGGGTCTTGTTGTTGGTGTGGACTCTCTGAAGAAGCTATCGCGTCGTACCGTCAGAAAAGCTAAACGCAATCTAGCAGAGCAACAGTGGTCTTGCAGCATCGCGGCCAGAAGCGCCAAGGAAGAGCGATCAGAGTTTCAGTATTGGGCCGACGTCGAGATTTCCAGCGACGAATCCGCCGGCCAAGAATTCGCCAGCGACGAATCCTCGGGCGACGAAAGTGAGTTAACCATTCCTCGTATTGACTTGCTTTGCTACCCATTATCTTGGTGATAGAGTCACGGCCGCCCCACAGGCCACAAACGATCGTGCAAGAAGTGCTGGCACTATCTAAATTTCACCTTCGTTCATCCTTACCAGCCATTCCTGCAGTGGGTAAGCGCGGACCGAAACGGGCGCGATCCAATTCGCCCGACTCCAGCGCACCCGGGGGTGACGGCAAGAAGCAGCGGAAGGGAGAGGGAGCCGATGTCTCCGCGGAGGCCTCTCACATGAAGGTAAAGGAACAGGTGTTTGAGCATAGCAGCAAGTTGCACGTCTTCTTGCACCGAAACATTGGTATTCTCTTCGCTTCAGTTGTTTTGGAAAGTGAAAGGCATCATCTAGCTTACGTTGTCATTCGTGTCTGTCGATCACAGAAGGCGAAAAAAACGACCGAGGAAGGCAAGGAGGAGGGACAAGATATCGAGACTGGAAAGGAGCAGGTAGGGAGGTGTGCCAGTTCTGAAGCTTCAGCGTCGTTCGATATTGGAGGGTTGGTGGGTTAAACTTTCATTCGCATTCCCCACCCCTTGTGCGGCACGGTCTAAAATACTGGTCCCGAGCTACAGTGCGAACCTCGTGGCGCCTCAAGTATGGTTCGGTAGGCAATCGCCAACCATGACCCCTCCCCGAGTGAAAGCAATTTTCACCTCCTGTGGCCGACACGACTCGGCCTTGACTGTTCCTTGTCTGTTTCGCCATGGCAACGGCCCGTTGAACAGAGAAAGAGGGTCCTGCGTGCTGCGCGCCACAAGTTTTTTTTTTGCGTTTGGTTTTCTTGCTGAGTGACTGTTGTACACATGCGGCTTCTGTATCTCCTCCGAATGTGCTGCAAGGCTCGTTATTTTTATTGTCTCTGTCGCCTTGGGTCAGCATGTGTTGCTCTCGTAGGTGGTGATGCACGTCTCTCACTTTGTTGTCTGTGTCGCCATCCATGAACAGCAGCGGTTGAAGAGACAAACAACAACAGACGGTCCGCCGGGTGTATTTTTTATTGTCTTGCTGCGTTGCATCGTAACCTGAGTGTCTTGCTGCGTAGTACGTTACTTTAGGCTGCCACGTAGACGAAGTACGTAATCTGAGCGATGATGTAGGGTCGATGGCAGCACAATCTCACGTACGTAGTGAGCTGTGACAACGGTCAACGCCTTGCTCGTCAAGCGGTACGCATCCAGCGCGGACGGGAAGCGTATTGAGATGCGTGGTGCTTAGTCATGATCTAGTGCTGTCACTACTTACCACAGAGAAAGAAAGTCGACAGTCCGCAACGGCAACTGTTAGTTGTTTGTTGCTGAGTGAGACTATCAGCAGTAATGGTACTGTTTATGTCCAATATCGCCATTCGTTACACATGTCTGACCGGCTCTGGTGGGTCAGAGGGGCGAGGATGAAGTGACCTTTAGAATCAATGTCTTGCCTTCTCTCCGCTCCCTTCGTTTTGTGGGGTCCCCACAACAACGTCAACCGCAATCGTTTTGTTTCTTGCTGAATAAGAGGCTACCCGTGCACCCGGCTGCTACATGTGAGACGATGGGCGCTGCCCCTTGATGTGAGGCAATGGGCATGCCCCTGATGTTTGCTGCAGTGCCTATGTGACAGCCTCCGGTGGTTCAGAGCGGTGAGGGTACCTTTTCTCTGCTCTCTTCTGCTGGGAGAGGTGTTTACTTGCCGTGCCCGTGACTGGGCCCCGCAGGTATTCATCCCCTCCGTGCCACTCGTCCACGCACCACCACATCCCACTCTCATTTCTCATCACACATTGATCTTACCATGCCTTGCTTCAGTCTCATCGTTCGATGTCTGCTTGTGGGTCGGTGAAAAATCCATTCCCATCCCCCAGCCCCGTTGGGAAAATCTGAAAGCTTCAATAATGCAACGGCGGTCGTCGACTTGCTATCACAATCTTGGATAGCAGTGGTACATATCGATTGTCTATCTCAACGGCTGACTGCTCTCGCAACTCACCTGGGGTTCTCCACATTTTTTCAGGTGAAAACGGAAGTCAAGTTTGACGGTGTCCTAGCGGACGCACCCTTCCAGTTCCCGTTCCCGGTGGCCGCGGAGAAACCTGCGGTGAAGAGTGAGTGTGTCCAGGATGGCACCTCTTCCAAGGTACCAAACGTGAAGAAAGAAGGCGGCAATGTCTCCGCGGGGGCCTCGCATATGAAGGTAAAGGAACATGTGTCGAGCATAGCAGCAAGTTGCATGTCTTCTTGCACCGAAACGTGGGTATTTTCCTTGCTAGCTTTGTTTTGCAACGAGTCAGGCATCATCTCGCTTATGTTGTTATTCGTGTCTGTCGATCACCGAAGGCGAAAAAAACGACCGAGCAAGGCGTGGCGGAGGGACAAGATATAGGGACTGGAAAGGAGCAGGTAGGGAGGTGTGCCAGTTCTGAAGCTTCAGCGTCGTTCGATATTGGAGGGTTGGTGGGTTAAACTTTCATTCGCATTCCCCACCCCTTGTGCGACACGGTCTTAAGTACTGGTGCCGAGCTACAGTGCGAACCTCGTGGCGCCTCAAGTATGGTTCGGCAGGCAATCGCCAACCATGACCCCTCCCCGAGTGTATGCAATTTTCACCTCCTGTGGCCGACACGGCCCGGCCTTGACTGTTCCTTGTCTGTTTCGCCATGGCAACGGCCCGTTGAACAGAGAAAAGAGGGTCCTGCGTGCTGCGCGCCACAAGTTTTTTTTTTTTCGTTTGATTTTCTTGCTGAGTGACTGTTGTACACATGCGGCTTCTGTATCCCCTCCGAATGTGCTGCAAGGCTCGTTATTTTTATTGTCTCTGTCGCCTTGGGTCAGCATGTGTTGCTCTCGTAGGTGGTGATGCACGTCTCTCACTTTGTTGTCTGTGTCGCCATCCATGAACAGCAGCGGTTGAAGAGACAAACAACAACAGACGGTCCGCCGGGTGTATTTTTTATTGTCTTGCTGCGTTGCATCGTAACCTGAGTGTCTTGCTGCGTAGTACGTTACTTTAGGCTGCCACGTAGACGAAGTACGTAATCTGAGCGATGATGTAGGGTCGATGGCAGCACAATCTCACGTACGTGGTGAGCTGTGACAACGGTCAACGCCTTGCTCGTCAAGCGGTACGCATCCAGCGCGGACGGGAAGCGTATTGAGATGCGTGGTGCTTAGTCATGATCTAGTGTTGTCACTACTTACCACAGAGAAAGAAAGTCGACAGTCCGCAACGGCAACTGTTAGTTGTTTGTTGCTGAGTGAGACTATCAGCAGTAATGGTACTGTTTATGTCCAATATCGCCATTCGATACACATGTCTGACCGGTTCTGGTGGGTCAGCGGTAGACGCCTCGCACGAACGACGCCAGCACTCTCCCGCCACCGCCGCCAATGTCCATCTCGGCCAGCTCCCTCAGAAACTCCGCCGAGGTGCGGCAGAGCAGGTCCACCCCAGATACCGCCTCCTAGCCAAGCTCCTGAGACCCCCCGCCGGCGAGGGACGAGGATGAGTGTCATCTTTAGAATCAATGTCTTGTCTTCTCTCCGTTCCCTTCGTTTTGTGGGGTCCCCACAACAACGTCAACCGCAATCGTTTTGTTTCTTGCTGAATAAGAGACAATCCGTGCACCCGGCTGCTACATATGAGACGATGGGCGCTGCCCCTTGATGTGAGGCAATGGGCATGCCCCTGATGTTTGCTGCAGTGCCTATGTGACAGGCCTCCGGTGGTTCAGAGCGGTGAGGGCACCTTTTCTCTGCTCTCTAAGGCTGGGAGAGGTGTTTACTTGCCGTGCCCGTGACTGGGCCCCGCAGGTATTCACCCCCTCCGTGCCACTCGTCCACGCACCACCACATCTTACTCTCATTTCTCATCACACATTGATCTTATCATGCCTTGCTTCAGTCTCATCGTTCGATGTCTGCTTGTGGGTCGGTGAAAAATCCATTCCCATCCCCCAGCCCCGTTGGGAAAACCTGAAAGCTTCAATAATGCAACTCGACGGTCGTCGACTTGCTATCACAATCTTGGATAGCAGTGGTACATATCGATTGTCTATCTCAACGGCTGACTGCTCTAGCAACTCACCTGGGGTTCTCCACATTTTTTCAGATGAAAACGGAAGTCAAGGTTGACGGTGTCCTAGCGGGCGCACCCTTCCAGTTCCCATTCCCTGTGGCCGCGGAGAAACCTGCGGTGAAGAGTGAGTGTGTCCAGGATGGCACCTCTTCCAAGGTACCACACGTGAAGAAAGAAGGCGGCAATGTCTCCGCGGGGGCCTCGCATATGAAGGTAAAGGAACATGTGTCGGCATGGCAGCAAGTTGCATGTCTCCTTGGACCGAAACGCCAGTATTGTCTTCGCTTCAGTTGTTTTGCAACGAGTCAGGCATCATCTCGCTTATGTTGTCATTCGTGTCTGTTGATCACCGAAGGCGACAACCCTTGGCCGAGCAAGGCGTGGAGGAGGGCGTGCAGGAGGGACGCGATAAAAGACACTGGGAAGGAGCGGGTGGGCGGTTGTGGCTGTCTCGGATAGCAGTGGTACAATTCGATTGTCCATCTCAACGGCCGACAACTCTTGTAGTTCACCTGGGGTTTCCTAATTCCCAGGTGAAAACGGAAGTCAAGGTTGACGGTGTCCTAGCGGACGCACCCTTCCAGTTCCCGCTCCCGGTGGCCGCGGAGAAACCTGTGGTGAAGAGTGAGTGTGTCCAGGACAGCGCCTCTTTCAAGGTACCACACGTGAAGAAAGAAAGCGGCTGTGGGCCCTGAGGCTGGCACCACCTTTCTAAATCGGGCCCTAGTTAATGCGTTGGAAAACCTATTTTTCTGTTTTTCTTGGCCGGCGTTTGTTGTGCATGCACCAGAGCCCACACTTCACACCACCGACCGAGGAGTGAGAGAGAAATGGCGGCCGTACCAAAAGAGAGAGCACGAAGTTCGAGTAGCTTCTGCTACTAGTAAACATGGAAGAATATTCATAGCGAGACACCATTAGTATGTCCTTAGGCCTGGTGCGGGCAGCGGGGTAATTCGGGTAGTGCTTCGTCTACAAGACGAAACGCAATATGCATAGTTTGATGTTATGTATGGGAGGGGAGGAGGGAAGACACGTTGGGTTTTTCTATTTTGGTTGGGATACTTTCTGCGATAGTGAACGTTGTGTTTTCTGCTGGTATTGGATGTACGTGGGTTACGTACGTTTATCTGAGGAAGGAATAGAAGATCCCCAAAGACAAAATACATAACTAAAAAATGTGGTAGTGCAGGGAGAGCATGATGTTGCTTAATGTGATGGGTGACAAGTTGGCATATGATTCAAGGCATGATTAAATTGAAAGCCTCCGTGTTTCCGCAATGTGTTTTTTGTGGTTGATGTGGTCGTTGGAATTCGTTTTTTTCGAGGTTTTACAAGTATCATATGCATAGGCGGTTCTTGGAATTTCCGTTTTGTGGCGTTTCGAAGAAGTGTTGCTTCTCAATATGTTGTGGAATTTTCCAAGGGTGCTAGTGTTTTAGGGGGACTTGAAAAGCAGTGGAAGCGAGTTGGGTGCATTCGTTGATGAACATGTGAGAGAATGATTCCAAGATGGCAGCCCGCACCGAGGTCTGGTATTCTCGGTGGTGACATCGACCTACGAAGTTTCTTGGTGTTGTAGTCGTGAGCGATTTAAAGCGCCTCGATGATCCGCATGACGTGCTCACTCTTGTCTCTCCTCTGGACGTGGTTGATTTTTGCGGGATTTGAGTTAACGACATCTGCTTTCTCTTCTCTTCAAGCGGCGTCCCTGTGTTTAACGGTGTCCACATAACAAGCCGGGCCGTGTATTAATAGTAACATTTGTGCGTTTTTAAAGGTTTCGGTCAGTGTAGTAACAACAGTGCGTTTTCTCAAGTTTTCTGGTGCTTTCTTCGCAACAACGAAAGGTAGAGCCCCGTGCTTGCCCCCGTCCAATGCGCCACTACAGGATAGGCGTCCTCCTTCAGTTTCAAGGGCAGCCGAGTGAGGAGCGGTTCCGCCGCACAGTCGATATCCCCCCCGTCGCAGGTGCCCAGTTTCACAAGCCCACACACCACGTGAACATCACGCCGCCTACGACAGATGTTTCTGCTCCCAAAGCGGACCTCGCCCGCAAAAAACAATTTGTACAAAAATCGATTAGTGCGTGTGCCCATCGCGCAGTCATCCCTCGACAAACCTGAACCAGACGTGTCATCAGGGAAACCCAATTCAAAACATTTGTCGCCTCTGGTCCCGCCTCTACTGCCACCGGCGGAAATTTCAAAATTGGTGCTCCGAACATAGAACGGGTCGAATCGTGAGCACTTGCAACGGAAAATGCCCGCATGTTCTCTCCTGGCTTATCGTATACGACATTCGAGGCTTATGTCCGCCTTCCGTGATTCGGCGACGTCTGTTCATGCCTCCATGGCAACAGGGGAAATGGTTGCGCTTTCTCAAAAGATCTGAACTGTTTCGAATTTGTTCCCTTTCTAATAATAGCATGGACTCTTATCCAACCTCACCAACAACTCACCACGTCGATCAACTCATCTCGCATCAAACCGCACACAGACGTGTCTCGTCCCTCGGAGAAAAGGACAGGGCCTCAGTGGAGGCCGGGCTACCTGCACCCACCACGTCGCGAAAACAGCGAGCCACATAAGGTCTTACCGTAGAAAGCGAGCGAGCGTCTTTTTACGGTTGGCACCCACCAAATCCCCACGGGACGTTAAACACGCCCTTATCCCGCTTCGCATAATAAACTCTGTTGCTGCCAATACGCCACCAACTGAGCGGTACATTGGCCTGTGTCCTGCCCGAGGAAAACATGCACCAAGACCACGAACCCCAGCAGCAGCGGCAAAGACCAGCCATTCCCCCCCCGTGGCCACCGCTGCTGTGACCTGGATGTTCCGCGTCCGTTCCCGCCGCCGCCTCTATGAGCCCGACTCCAACATATGGGATACCTGTTCGCAGTGTGATGCCCGAATTCTCTTTATCCTCAGACCGATCGCTCCCCCAGAGGTCTACAGGAGAACAACCGGTGATCGAAAGCATCCGGGGTTGGTTCATGACCCGTTGTGTCCACAAAGAAACGACGCAGAAGGAAGCACACAACACGTGGACATACAGACAGACCGACTTTCCTTCACTACTGCAGCGAGCTATCTAAACCTATCCGACAGTCTTTTTATCCCCGCGATGACGTGGACAGGACGCAAGCAAGGGCCCGAACAACATCATACACATAAAATCATCCCTCAGGAATGGAAAACAAGTTGCTGCATCCAAAACTTGGAGAAGAACCGGGGCAAGAAAAAAAGCACGCCGTCGGTGGTCAGGAGACCGACAACTGGTAGGGCACGCTGCAGGAAAGAAACAAAAAAAAGAAAATACCCAATTTACGGCATATGATCGCAGGTTGATACCACATGAAAAACCTTTACGTCACCGCGGCGGCGTTGGTCGCGCCACCCGTCCGGACGTAACTCACTTGTACCAGTGGGGGGATCTATGGATTCCAACGGGCACCCACAAGACCGAGAGAAAAGCTGCTGAGACAAGACACCACCAAGTCGATTGATCGGCGACAGAAAATACATCATCACAAATACACAGACAGCCGAACAGGATATCGGACAGCCAGGCAAAGAGACAGTCAAGGGTTGCCTACGGAATAAATCAATATAATGAGGATACATCAATGTACATTCAGCGCTAAAAGAACAATGCTGAAAATACGAATACACGGCAGAGGTGATGGGAGGTGAGCCGTGTATGGCAGAGCACCCATACATAGGGCAATTTTTTTGTAAGAAACGGAAGAACTTCCAACAATTTTTGTTGGACCCCTATGTATGGGAGGTGAGCCGAATACACGGTATGGAAATACACCAATGGACAGTTGTACGAATGCTGCAAAAAAGTGCTTGAAAAAATAGCAGAGTACCCAATGCACGTACATACATCTAATCCCGACAGGAGGCTTCGCTGAGGTTCGCAAAACCAATCACCTTGGTACTCGTTGAAAAATTCGTAAAAGGCCTCTACACTGGCAACCAAAGCGCAGACAGAACACCATAGAGTTTCAATGCCATACATCGCCAAGACAAAAGGCATACACCACCATACACGGACGTGGCCACAAAAAGAGTAAATTCGTCGTCCACAAGAGAAAACGCAACATCGACAGTACGCTGACCGACCACCCACCATGTTGTCGTTGCTGCCCGCGGCTGCCATGATCAGATCTGCCACACAACCTCACGCACAGTACAACTCGGCATGGCCTCGACAGCAACACACGGTGAACATGTTTGGCAGCAGGGGCGGCGGCCGGGGTGTGACCCCCAGGTGCCGCGTTTGCCGCTGGCGTGGCTGCCGCATGGAGGGGGCAAGATCCGGCATCCATCCGCTCTCGCGTGTGTTTCCCTAACCCAGCCGCAAGCCAACTGCGGCAATCCCTGCTAGCAGCGCAGACGCCGTCGCGACGACAACGTTGGCCACGACGAAGGTTTTCCTGGCAGCCCCGCTTTCGTCCGTCGCAACATCCTCCACCACCGCATCCGACACGATGCTGGTACTACTGCTAGCGCTGGTGCCGGTGCTGGTGGTGCTGGTGTTGAGGCCCAGGTCCTCGGTCATGCCCTCGGTGCCAAGGCAGGTCATGTCGTAGTCCACGCACCCGTCGAACAAGCCCAGGTTGCACTTCCAGTACCTGCAAAGCAGCAGCAGCAGCGGCGGCAGTAGGGTGCCATGATTGGGGGGGATAGTGATCGGTGTCTCGCGCGATGTCAGCGAAAGGTGAACATAAGCACCAGAACACGCTGGTTTTGGTTCCCTGGCGGCACACGACAGGGAGGTATAGCACCTCTGTACGGATCGGACACAAGCACCAGCGGGGTCATCTTCCTCACGACACCTTTCTAGGTCGCAACGGTATTGATCAACCCCCAGAGAGAGAGAGAGTCAGTCATGAGAGAAACCCACCAGACCAAGCCCGAGTACCGGGGAGTCGCTTCCGCTGTACGCTTACATCGCCCCGGGTGAATCCGGTGTGCCCAACGCAAAGCAGCGTCTGTCTTTCCCCATATCCTGCCGCGGTAGGTGCAGTTTTCTCCCTAGCGTTATTCCGGTCACCGCTAGCAGTCTTGGTGTTAGCATTCGGGGTAACGGTGGCGGCGGTGGCGGCCAAAGGATGCATGCCCGGTGTCGCCACAAGGAAAAGCACCTGCCGGATCTTCATGTCTCCGGAGTACGTAGGATACAGATAGCATGGGCGGAAAAGCAAAAATGGGGGGCGGGCATCGATGGCTAGCTCTTATGTTGCCCCTAACGGCATCGCAGTTGCTGGTCAAGGCCTCCAGGCGACTCGAACACTCCACACTAAACAAAAACAACTTGGTACAGACCAGCCACCTTATCATCGAAAAGTTTGTCCGTAGACAACTGTTCCTTAAGTGTTCGACCGCCTACGAGTATCTATTATAGGGAAAGAATAGGGAGGGGGCACGCAGACCCTATCCCTATCCCTAGCCCTAACCCCAAAGCACGGATTGAATACTTTATCCCATATGTTCGCTTAATCAATTTTGCTGCGTAGACTGTTTTGTTGATACCCTCTCGAAGTCTACACACCGCTTCGTCCGGAAGGTGGGCGGTGACATACAAAACCAGATTTCTAAGTCATACAAGCATCTGTTCGGCGCTGCAGGATAGTGCTGCTGTATACGCAGAGCCCACGCAAACGACCATTTTCCTCTCTTCTCGGGGGGATTTTCTGTTGCATATACTGCTGTAGCGGCCGCTCTTAACGCTGATGCATGGCGGGTGCCTGCACAACTCAACGCCCTCAAAAATCACGTCGTCAAGGGTCCAACCTCGTATGACGTTCTCATCTGGGAATTGTCTGTGTATTCGTGTACAAGAACGACTGGTTCTACTGCATGGGTTCTGTGCAGCATTGTGGAGGCGTGTTTCCAAGTCTGTAACCGTCAGGTGAAGACAG